ATGTGAATCATGTTCCACACTTACTGGAGGAAAAATAATGAAATTATATGCAGTAAACAGAAATAAGGTTAATAAGGTTTGAAGTTTATAAGAGCGGAAGAATGAGTATACTGGTTTAGGTTAGTAGCCCATGTACTTCTTGAATAGGTGCTTTTCCATCTTCTTCTCCACAGTCATTTCAAGGGTATTTAAAAGCTGAACAGGGTGTGCTTTTTTACCTTTCAATGCTTCTTAGGCTCCCTACTGAGTCTCAAAAGTAGACCCTCTTTATTGAAGACATTTGACGTGCCAGTTCTACTCAGAAACCATACACTTAAGAACCTGTCAGATTTACAAGCTTAGGTGGTTTCTACACTGTAGGGTAAAAGTTGAAAAGCTTTATATTTGCAAGAGTGATTGTGAATCAAAACCTAAACTAGCAACACTCTTCTCACATTGAATCCTTTATAGTTTAACAAGCTCTTGTGTTTCCTGGAGGTGATGCTTCATCTGATCACTTAGGCTTTTATGTAATAATAATGCTCTATTTGCATTTTCCATATTTATATAGTCATTTATCTTTCTTCTTGGAAATGTAGGTTTTGATGGACAGTTTAATATTACATAGAAGTTTTTATTTTCTTAGAGTTGCAGTCCAAGTGCTCTGCAGGCCAGACTTAAAGTAGCTGCTCATGAAGCTGAAGAGGAATCTGACACTATTGCAGAAGACTTCTTGGAAGGCAAAACAGAAATAGATGACTTCCTTAGTAGTTTCATGGAAAAGAGAACGGTATGTAATATACATATCATTCTAATCTGAGAGATACACAACACAGTGAATAAATTAGGAGTTTAGCAGTCTTGTGATACAGAACAGTGTTTTAGTAAGCTCCAGCAGAAGGAAAATATATCCCTAAGTGGCTTCAGTCTACTTAGAATATAATGTGCATTCTGAAGGCTCATATGTTTAAGGTGGGAGTGCAGAGGTCTGCTGCATTAGACCCTTCATACGGTGTTGCAGATACTTTTGTGCTACTGTTTTCTATATACTGTATAGGGAAGATAGCCACATTGACAGTTTTCAAATCGGAAAGTTGATGTTATTAAACCTCTTAAACTAATTGTTCTGTTGTTGGCTATCCCCAAATAAGTAACTGAGGTTCAAAAACCACTGCTCTTGCTTATGCTGTGACAGGAGCTACTTACTGGGCAGCGTACCTTTCTTTAAAGATGCCTAATAAATGCACTGCATATCATAGAAAACAATTCTCTTGCAAACAATTGTGGATGGAATAATGTTACCAGTACAGTTGAGCCTGAAGCTTGGAAGGGATGTGGTTCACAGGACTTTCCTTTTTTAAGGAGCCTGCAAGGTAGCTAAATCATTAAAGACACACTGTAGTGTGCATTATAAAGAATTCCTTTCAGAATTTACTCTTCATTTGCCTTGTTTTGTAGCTCTGCCACTGTACACGAGCCAAAGAGGAAAAACTTCAACAGGCAATAGCAATGCACAGCCAATTTCATGCTCCGCTATAGGTAAACTACTTCTTTTATTTTTTTCCCAATTTCTCATTGTCACACACTTACAAAATGCTAATTGCAAATAGAGCAAACAGATTTATTGCAATGCTTGGAGTTCTAATAATGCTTTCTGTAGAAATCAAGTATGTCCTCTATCTGTTGTTAGTTGTATTTAAAACATAACTTCTGGAGGAGTAGAAGTATCTAATTACGGAAATTTGTCTTTACAGACTTCCTGCAAGCTACACCTGCCAAGAGAATGAGTGAAAAATCCAATAAAGCACACTTTTTAATAACTATTATTTGCAAATAAGCATTTCATCTTGTATGGTTGTATTTATAGAAGAGATTGTATACAGAGTTGGGATGGGTTTTGTACAAATTAGAATGTCTCTTTATATTCTCATTGTACTCAAGAATCCTTCTATTGCAATCTTTGCACTAATTTCTTGTATTTATTGTTGATAGTTCTTACTATATTTAAGTTCCTGCTGCTATACTTCATTCTTCAGAGATTAAATATCTAAACATGTAATTTTGACTAGCTTTTTACATTTTTATAAAAACATAATTCATATCTTTTGTATTTTGGACTTTAAACATTAGAATTGGCTTGATCTGTGGAAATATTTGAGATAAGTAATGACAGGACTTTGAAAACTAAAGAAGTTCAAAATTTGAGATTGTCAGTGGATCCAAAAGCTGTCTTTTCTTGAAGCCAAAATGTTTAAGAACAGATGGGTTTTTTATTTTAAGTTATATGGAAAACTGAGTATAGCCTGTATTGTGTTTTGGATTAAGCAAAGGATGTGTTGGAACAAGTTATATTGGAATCAAAATAGAATAAGCGATCTCTGCGTAGATTTGGTATGTTGCTCGGTAGCACTGATGCACTTGATTTCAGGAGTGGCTTGGTACCTACTACTGTAATTAAACACAATTTTCATTTAACAATTTCATTTTCATATTTGTTTTTACTTGAAGGAAAAATAAGCAAATCACTTCCCAGTGTCTGTTGTATGCAATACAAATGCATTCATCATGTGAGGAACTCAAAAGCACTCTACAAGAACTAGTTCTGAAGTTCTTTGTGAGGTAGCAGTTATTAGTTCCTAATTTTAAGGAACAAATAAACTAATTTGGCTGGAGTTGCATAGCGTGATATGTTAATGCTGGTGATAGAATTTGGAATTGAGGCTTAATTCTGACCCTTCATCACTGGATCTTGCCTCTGGTGAGCTGACTGGGTTTTAGGATAGCAGTATACCTGGTGAGAATGGATAGGACCAAGTGCAGTATTCTGTAATAGAAAAATATAGCCCCTAGATGCATGCATGTATGTTATGCCTTGCTCTTGCAAAAAGACACATTCTTAACCTTGTTCGTGCATTAGGTTTTCATGGAGACAAGTTCCGAAAGAACAGAAGGAATTGTACAGTTCTGAAAGTTAAGTAAGCTAAAGCACTGGTTAAGCAATGTATCAGGAATCGTGCTGCTTTCTTTTCAGGAAGCAGTCTGCAGATACACCTCTTAGCAAAGATACTGCCTTTGTGTTACTTAGATGGGGTCACAGAACATCACAGATTCAAATCTCTAACTAAAGCACGTCAGTCCAAGTGGGTACTTTTTTCTGTGTCGCTAATATTCAGTCAGTCCTAAAATCAGTACTCTTCTAGGAGAAGAGTGAGTTAAGAAATCATGCAAGTCACTAGCCTGTGGAACAGACATTTTGCAGTCTTCAAATGGGACTTCAGTCTCAGCCCTGTACAGTACTGTGGTTGTGTGTCTTAAGCTATTGCCTTTTGGGGTGAGTAAGCTATTCACTGGTATTTGGTGGGATTTTTCTTTGCAAAGATGGTCTGAATTCTGAGGTTAGATGTCCTAAAAAAATACAAGTGTGGTCTAAAGAAGATACTTAGGTGCCAGAAAAAATCAACAGGTTTTAAGTGCCATGGTTAAGCAATAATTTTAGAGTATCTTCTTCCAAAAACCACTTCTACTGACCATGTGTAATACTGCTTGTATATTGACATAGCACTTCTGCTAATGTGCTAACTAAAACCCTAATTAAAAATGAGATTGCATAGGTTTTCAAGTGGTTCTGGACTTGGGTTTCTGAGTAGTGTGGTTTCTGCAGCTGTGGTGAGGAGTTTCATTTAAGTCATTTGTGTTACCTTCTTTGCAAACTCCATCTGTTTTTGTGCTGAGTGTATAATTTTGCTTTGGACCTTTTTCTGAGTAGCTAGCTAACAATGACCAGACACACAGTTCTGCCCAGGACTGTTTTGTTGTTATTGTTGTTTATTCCTTGTAAGCAGAGAAAGGAACAGATAACAAACATCATGTGCTCTTCCTGAGTTGGGCTAGTATCTTCTTCATACATTTTACAATGTCATGGACTGACAGGCTTCTGTCCTTATGTGCCCCCTCCTGTTGACTGTTACGTGGTGTGTTATGGTGCTTCACTGTGGCTGACCTTTCTAGCCAGATGATGTCCAGGGGATTTGCTTCCCAAACTAGTGCAAGTTTTCAACACTTCAACTTTTCCTCTTATGTTACTTTTGTACATTTTGCGAATTTAAAGTTCAGGACTGCTCTGTGGAGTCCTGATGACAGTGGAGGAGAGTCTAGAAGAAAATCACATTGTTCAACGCAACTTCTTAGTACAGTGTTTCTTGTTCAGCGATATGAAAGTTCAAGGTCTTCTCTTTTCTCCCTTTCTATTATATTTCTCATATTGTTGTTCCTATTAGGGTTTTCCCCCCTAATTTTTAGCCCCTTCTGCAGTCACAAACCCATCCTCTAGAAAAGAAGTCTCTCTATTCAGCAGTGGTGTACTGGGTTAGCTACAGGTATCCTGCCACATGCAGGAATGGCCAGCCTGTTCCTGACCTGTGAAGGACAAGCCAGCCAGCTGCTGGTTGGTGTGTTGGTTTTCTTGTAGTCCTACGCTGGTTGTGCCAATGGGAACATGTTTTCTTATAGGTAAGCTGTATACCTTGACCAGAAGACTTAGAACTCGTAACATTCTGTCAGAGTAGGTTTTTTGGGTTCTACCACTCTGTTAGTTCACAGTTAAGCACATTCTTTACCTTATTTTGCCGAAACATGGCATGTAGGTGTAAATCCAGCTTTAAACAATTCTCCAGGAAGTGTAAAAGAATGACAGCTGCTGTTGGAAGCATATTCTAAAATCTTTTGAAATGTGTCAAGTGAACTCTTAAGATACCTGGGATAAAAGGGTACATTGTATTGTTTCTGGAGCACCTTGCACTATATCATGCCCGTGCTGAGGCGTTCTGCCAAGCAGAAAAGCGAAGTGAATGAGCAAGAAATACAAGAGTAAAGGAAGTAGCTTGTCTCTGGTGTTGCAGTAGTTTGGGCTGAGGGTACATTCTGTATTGTAACCGCTAATTGAGTTTGGGTTTTGCTTAATTTTAATACCTGATCTTGCTGCTGAATGTTTTTTTAGCTCATTTTAGATTTCTTGTTCCTCCTCAAGTCATTACTTAAATCCAGAAGAGAATTCTCCATATAGCAATTATAACTGATGCTGTTGCAGACAAGAGAAATTTCAAAATGTAAGTCTAAAATCAAGTAGGTTTCATTTTAGGATGATCTTGTATACAGCTGGTGTTAATGATACATTCTGCTGCTGCTTATAGAAGAAAACTTTTTCTAGGTTTCAGAGTGTATTTGACATGCTAACCTTTCTGAAGGACATTCTGAAGGGGATAATCAGGTATGTACTGCTATGCCAGACACCACTACAAGCAATAGACCATACTAAAGTTGGTTTGCAGTAGTATCTAATGATCTACTATAGTTCTGTTGTTTGCTCTGTACCTACTTCTGCAGCTTTGCCACTTTGCACCTTGACCAAATATGAAGTTAGAAATCTTTTAGTCTTATTTCTGTCTGATTTCTTACTATTCCCTTCAAAGATGCGATAAATCTTTCTAAAAGAGAGATTTAAGAGACCTTCAGGTAAAACTGAATTAAAACTCTGGCAACAAAGTTAAGTCAGTTATCACAGCCTTGTTGTGTCTGTTATTCTGAACCATAAATGCTGTAATGTATTCAATTTACAAATAAAGGCTTTGGGATTTTTAAGATATCTTGTGTTGTCTAACCTACAGAATGAGTTGGGCATTGCAGGACTTTTTGGTTGCGTACAGAACTGTGTTGGAAATGGATGCAGTAAACTAGTCAAGGACAAACCTTATAATTTATGTGTGTAGTGGTTTGAGCTTTTCCTGTTTAACCCTTTCCGTAGCCACCTTCACTAAAATGGGCTTTGAAAACCTATATTGCATCTCTGGCTACTACTTTCTTAAATGCCTTCTTTTGGTCACATACCTGTAGAGATCAAATTTATATTCAGTAGTAAGCTACAAAGAACGCTTGTATATATAACATTGAAATACCTTAACATAAAGAACCATGTTCTTTAGTCTTCAGAGACAGAATAAATGAGTCTGAACAACGTTGACAACCACCAAACTTCAGAATGTGTCCTTGCCTGAATTCGGTCGTAGCAGTTCTGGTGGACCTGTGAAGGTTTCATTAGCTTCCTTCCTGAATGGTTTCTATTAAAAGACTAAAAGTTTATGTTAAGATTTAACATGATTTGATTTGCTGGTTCCAGATACTTTACTGGCAATTTAAATAATACGAATAAAGCTGAATGTTTATTTTACCTTCACTTCTCATCGCCCCACTCTCTGGCAGTGTTACTGGCCTCTCTGAATTCAGGCTTTGCTGTATACTCAGCCCTAGATCTTTGGCACATTTTTCTCTAGTCTTAATACTGTGATAAGTGACTCTACTCTTTACTTACCCCACCTATGTTCCTCCCTTCACAGATAAATTGACAGTGACTTACCTGATGTTTGTGATGAACTTGAGGACTCTGTGTGCAGATCAGGGCAGCGTCTGCATAAAAGCATTGAGTTAGCTTTGTCAACAGTGACAAAATGCTTATCTCCATTGAAAAGGCTACCTCCTTGTTGCTGGGTTTTAATTGCTATTAGTTTGTGTCACCAGGCGTCTTTAATGATGTGTAAACCGGTGCTCTGGCTTGCCCCTACCTTCAAAGAACCTTACTGCTGATTTTACAAAGAGCTTTCCTTCCCTGCCTCCTTCCTTTGTCTTACTTTTTTTTCTGTTCCTCTTCTTTTAATGGTATCCTTCAGTCTGAGTTGTGCCCTCCAACTTAACTTTATTTCTCAGCTTTCCAAAATCCATTACCAGTTTACCACCTTTGTCTATGCCTTGCATAGAGCTACCAATAAAAGCAGCTAGTAAGTTTTCTTTCAGTTCTTTAGTTTATGATCTTTTGTAGAGAAAACTTTAGCAGTTTGATCCCATTGCCTTCAGCATCCTTTAGATGTGTATTTTCATACTAAAAAGCAGCCTGAACCTAGCGAGGCTGACATTACACCACAGAAATCTATAATGCTTTTCTGATCCTTTCTTTCCAGTGGTTTAGTTATGTTCATGTGTGTCCTATTTAAATTACAGTGGGCCAGATTTGCAAGGATTTGCAGCAGAGGGGAGCCCCCCACAAAGCCACAAAAAATCAGTGTAGTTCATATAGTCTGGTTTTCTCATCTGTTCTCTTTCATATTCCCTAAAAAACCCCCAAAATAATACAGGGGTTTAACACACTCCCATATAAATAACTCAATTGACAGGAGCCTCAGTGTTCTTAGTTATCAGTCATAGATTCCTTCACAGCTTAAACCACTGGATTCAAGTATTGAATTAAGGAAGATGCAGAAACTCCTTGATCTTAGTGACAGAATTACTCTTGGGTAAGTGAAGAACTATATTGCAAAAATTGGGAAAGCAAACCTTGGTTTCGTTCACTGGTGTGAAATAGCGTAATACTAAATGTTTATTTGAAAGTGTTGCTCAGCAGGCTAATAATGCCACAGTTACATACATTGCAATGAAACAGTAGTAGCTAATGCAGAATTCCAAGGACTGAAAGACACACCACAGAGGGCTGCTAAGTAAAGGCTTAATATAAAAAGTTAATATGTTGGTATTTTAGTTGTAGAGCTAGTTACAAGGAGTTGCATAAGCGACGTGAAGACAGCGCTTAGAATTTGCATATATTGCTGTTCTGCATTTATTTCTAGACATGCCAAATAGGACACAATACCATCATACATAATTTTACATTTAAAGGTTGCAATAATATTGCCCAGATTGCAATAATATTGCCCATTTTCAAACTCATTTTTAGGCAGAATATTCATGTGTTTTGTTTTAATTTCTGACTTTGCAGCACGTTTCTTCAGCTTGAGAAAACCCCATTCAAAACCTCCTTTAATACCATAAAGTTTACAGGCTATATTCAAAATATGAAACATTTTAAAAAGTGCAATTAAAATCAGGGCTTTTGTTTATTAAAAATTCATAAAGATTAAAACCTAGAAGGCTAGATTCTCAACAGAGTATAAATCCTAGCTGTATTTATTTCAGTTGACCTACAGTGATTCTCAAGTTGAGGATCTGGCCTTGCCAGTATAACATTAATATAAATCTTGGTGTTAGGAATTGAATTATTTGTTCAAAGACAGCAGCTCTGTTAAGAGGGTATTAATAATGCTGAAGTTTACCGACTCATTTTTAATAACGTAAGTTCACAGAACAGAATAGAAACCCATTCTGTAAAAGCAGAGTGAGTAATTAAAGCTTATAATTTGAGGTATATTTATATAATTTAATTTTGCCTGTAAGTCTGTATTTGAAGGAGTAGTATGAAATGCAATCAAAGTAAACTTACATTACTACTGCTTTGCTTTACTAGAGTTCAATACCATGTCGTCTCCAAGCAGGAAAGAAATATATTTTATTATATGAAATATATTTTAACTGCTTTCTTGAATTAAAAGTAAAAAAAAGGAGAACCTTTGAAGAATTAAGACCTGCTATGGAAGCCTATTTTAGTAAGTTTCAAAACATCCCAAATTTTTCAGTGGTTTGCTTCTGTACCTGTGCTTATGAAATATATTACCCCTACTCTTAATATTAAAATTCTTCAACCATATGAGATTAAACTCTGTCACGGTGAATCTGTCTTTTTGTTTGGTTAGCATTGCCATTGCTCAGTTCAGGTTGGCAAATACTAAAAGAGAAATTCTGTGTGAGAAAAAAGAATAATGCCACTTGGTTGTGGTTAGCTTATTTTGAACAATAAAATTTGGAAGGAATATTCTTCATAACAGTTGCTTGATGGGCATAACCTTTCTTTAGTTCTGAATTCAGTGATGCTTCCGTAAGTGATACTTGTAAGGATTCCCTGTTCTTTCTACTGTATATGTACCTCACTCCCACCCAAATAAAACATTTTCAAGTAGGAATCAAAATAGGCTGGAGAATTTGGGGTTTTCTTACCTGTAAAATTTTACCTTTATATCTTACCTTGGTTGGTTTGGAACAAGGGTAAGATATCAACAATCTAACTTGAGAACAAAACATAAAGATGCTAGAGCATACGGTCTAATGTACTTCAGCATTATAAAGGGATGCTTCTCCAGGAAGGCTGTGTAAGTGTTGTATCATTACCAATGAGGTGTGTTCATGTGCAGCAGCAGCAGCTGCTTACCAAAGGACTTGTTTTGCGAGATCAAAGCTTCATTTGTCCCCTAAGCAAGCATGTCCATTTGTTAAGTTTTACTTTGCTGCAAAGGATTCTAATAGGAGACAATGTAAAATATTTGTTGGAATTAAAAATGTAACACCTCCCACGGAAAAAAAAGAAAGTGAAGAATATACACAACTGTGTCTGACGGCAACACAGCTCTACAAAAATAAGTCTTGACTGATTCACAAGTAAGCCTAACACTAACAAATCTTCAGCCTTGTCCCTATGTGTAAGAGAGTAGTTTGGAATTACACTTCTTTGGAGAAGAACTAATATTTTGTACAATAAATAATTATGGAAATGTACAAAGTAAGGAATAATTATGTACAGCATTGATAAAGTTAAATACCACATTGGCTTAACTAAATATAACAGCAGATACTTTCTTTAGCATTATGTCTTTAATAATGGCTTGTTCTGCTTAGTCTTTGCTTACACAATTGCACAGTTCCCTTTCTTTGGATTATTTCTTTAGGCCACACACCACTCCCATTTTTCATCTGATGAAAAGATCTCATTCCAGGCTGTGAAACACTCAACTTCATCTGGGTCCTCACTGTGTTGAAGATATTTCAGACTGTCAGAAATACAGCCTCATCTGAATCCTTGCCACTGTCTTCACTAGGCAAGCAGCCACCGCCACTTGGGGACCTACAGCTTAAGTCCTCCACACCAGACTCCTGATCACTATTAGCTGAGAGGTCAGGATCGGAGCTTTTCAGGTTGTCCTGTGTCAAAATCAGGGCTGAATCTTCTTCATCCCCTTGTGAAGGGCTCCGGGATGGGAATGATTTCAGGTCACTGCTATACTCCTGGGGAGTGTTAGCTAAGCTGTTGCTGGAAGTAGAAAGCCCTAAATGTTTGGTTTGGTCTTGTTGCTTACTCTTGACTTTATTACCATTTAATTGTGATTTCTGAAGATTTGCCAATCTCTGAAATAAAGGAAACAATAGGTATTAAATGAACACATTTAGTGGGCCCACTAATTCTCTTACATGTGTCTGCCTTCTTTTGTTTTTAAATAAAATAAATTCAAAGCCTAACCCAATTAGCACCCTTAAAACTGCCTATTTGCTTTTATGGAGTAAAGAGAAGTGCACAATTTATCACAAACCAATGCTGAATTACAACGTCCTGAGTTACAATTCCTTCTGAGTTACAGAAGGATACAGTAGTATTTGTGCACCAACACAGGTTAGATTTTATCCCTAAAGATAAGTCCACTGTTGTGTCTTCAATGTAAAACATTCATAGTAATTTCTGTGAGAACAAAGATGACAGCTGAACATCCTCATGATGGGAAGGGATGTAGCACGTAGGGGACTGCAGTGTATGGAACTGGGTTTCATTTATCATCAGTTAAGTCTGAGGCATCGAGATCAAGTGTTTGTTACCTCTCCTAAGACCTCCAGCTCTTCTTCCAGCTGCTGAGTTTCTTCCTTCACTGCCATCAGATAATCAGTAACTGACTGTCGAGGATGCAGCCCCTTTTCAAAGCGGTTGTACATACCACTCCAGAACCTGGAATTGACAGAAAGCTCAGCAATGTTCTCATTTGGTGAAATGGCCTCAGAAGACTGAAATACACACTTTTTTTGTCTTGTTTTGTTGTCCTAAATGATCCATTCATGGATTATTCATCATTAGAGTGCATACATGTAAGTTTGTTGAATATTTGGTAAGACCTATGGTTCATTTGCACTGGATTTGCCCTGAAGGTGCAGCTCTAAGGACATAAATAGCTTGAACTGATTACGATGCACAACAGAAAGAAAGGTGAGTGTACCTTGGACTTGGATCACGTGGCTGTGGGTGGTTCACTGAACACAAGTTTTTGCTGTATTATTTTCTTGTTCTACGCTATGGGCTTTAGAGCAATGTGGTACCTATGAAACAGCTGAGGTAGAAGACAGCTTTTCTTAATCTTAGTTCTCAACTGTTGTTTAACTTCCCATCAAGTCAACTTTGAAATTTCATATGCTTGTTTTCGTCTGGGGCAGGAGAGGGGGTGATTGGGGGTGGGGGTGCTGAGGTGCAGCTAGTTAACAAGCTTTTTTTTTTCTCCTGTAAAGAAGAGTTAAAAATAAGGAGTAAAAACCAGTATGGTGTCCTATCCTTTAAAATAGGACACCATAAAGATTTAAACTGACATTTTAAACTGGCTTATGGAAATCGAGTGAAGCACATATATTGACAAGTTCTCTTCTTGTTCTATGGAATGATTTGACAAACCTTTATTTAAACAGCTGAGTTGATCTTTCATTTTCAGGAGGAAAGGACTTGAACTGTAAGTCCATAGCTTACTCTAGCACTCCTCCCATCTTCCGTCTTCCTGGCAATACATGGCCATGGCCACACTCTGAACATGTATGGAGTTCATCAGACGTGTTAAGTAACCAGGAGACCCTCTGTCAGCTGCAGCTGTCCAGCCAAGTTGCTGACAGAGATTTTCAGAGTATGTGCATGCTCCTTGGTGGCTAATTATTCCTTCCCCAGTAGTATACTATTTAAGTCATGTTCATCTTTAAGTTTACCATCTCATAGCTCATGCTTGGAAGTCTTTATGCACCCAAGTAATTCCATCAAAATCAACAGGATTACTCATCCAATTGGAGGATCTGCAGTATCATTAGTTCTTTTATAAATCCCACTGTCCTAAAGAAGACGATTAGTGACTATTTTTAAGTTGTTTTAAAGTGGATGTGACCTAGAATAGCAGACATGAAAGAATTCTCTTTCTGTTATTTAGGATATTTATTGGCTTTTAACAAGTGCTTTTACTTGCAACTAGGAAACAAATGGATCGGTTTTACCTAAATCACAGTTTTCATTAATTTCTATTGAAGTTCTCGAATGTTTGTTAAGATTAATGTCAGAATTGTTACTATTGATATGCTGACTTGAGTAATTATTTCTAAAACTATTACATTTTGAAAAAAAATCAAACTTACTGTGTATTCTTTGAGGTATTTCAACAACATTGGGAAATTCTGGTGTTTGTTTTACTAAACACTTGTTCTAGCAATGAAACCTTATCATTTCTTGAAATGTCTCTTTTTATTTTTGACACCAGTTGATCCAAATAAATATCACAAAACCGTGGAATGGAAACCGCAGACGAGAACAGAATTGAAAGAGACATTTCTCAGTGGAAGAAGTAAGTAACCATGAAATTAGGACACACAACTATCAATATAACTTTAATCTTAAGCTTCTTTTCAGACTAATACTCCGTTGTGAAATGGTGCAGAGGTGTTGGCTGATTGTGAGTGTACAAGGAACAAACACATAGTATCTGAGACTGAATTTACTCTCTGTAAGTCACCTTATGGAATGGGAACTACTAAATACAAAGGCACTCTGTTCTGTACGAACACATCCTACAATTCTTAGTAGCAAATGATGCTACCTACTTGTACAAGAAGTTGCATGGAGCCATCTGAGGGTGCAGGGTCCCTTGGGTTTTAGTGTGGTCAGGTCGATACAAAGGATTCAGGTAATCTGCACGATTTTTCCACAAGTGAGCCCACAATGAATATGTTCGTTCTTGGATTCTGAAAAAAAAATACAAATAATGAAAATATATTAAAGTCAGTTATAACTCAAGCTTAATTGTAACATTCTAGTGCTCTGTACCACTCATCTATAATCTGCTTTGCATTTCCTGAACAGAATTAGTCTGAAACTATAAATATAGAAAAACAGAAACCCATATTCCTTTGTTGGTCACTAAAGGCAAAATCCAATCCGTTTCCTATAAAGCTAGAGCAGCTTTTGTGGGTTTTTTTTGGAGAGAGAAGGTGGAGAGATGGATTCCTTTGCAAGTTGATCACTTCTATAAAATTAGCTTTCAGACCGATCTCTATACCAAAGGGATCCCCACATTTAAAAGCACTCCTACAGCATTAAGCTGTTAATTTCTTATTAGATTAGTCAGGTCTTGGGATAGGATGACTTGGAAGGTTTTGACGTTAAATGGACTATGGCACTGAGGTAGCTCAGTGAAAGGGGCCAGGCGGCAGCAGCAAGCAGGAACTCCCTCCTGCCTCTCATGACTACTGCTGATAGGATCAGGATGCATGAGTAAATGGTGGGTATCATGATGTACCTGAGGAGCCAGGGCCCCAGAAGCAGATATGAACACTAACACTGCCAGTAATGATATTACTGTCTCTGTTTGGGCATGGTGACAGGTACGTTAATTCATAATTGCTTTGGGTCCAGACAGCAGGATAGTTTGCTGGCTCAGTCTCAGGGAGGACTACCAGACAAAAAAGCTGTTCATAAGAAAGTACCAAGAAATCAGGAATAAAATGTCCTGACATGAGGTCCAAAGACAGAGAAGAGCAGCGACTCTTAAACTGAGAACTTAACTAGAGTTAATATCATCTTGTATTAGAGCTACAGTGACAGCTTGCCTTGTTTGTTGTCAGTGCTGCAATAAAGGTAGAACCACATGGCCAAAGGGCTAATGCTCCTGTCAGTTTTCCCTAATCCCTGTCACGCACACTGTGGATTACCCTCCTGGCAGAGCCAGATTGCAGGGGATCAACTTTTTTCTGTATTAATCTCTGTTGCTAGAAGATAACAGCCAAGAATTCTACACTGCGCCCTGCGCCTTATGAAAGCACATACAAGTAGACTGGCAAATGTCTGACTCCTCAATACACCACCACCCACAGGCTCCACACGTGAGTATGCTACTTCAGAAGAGACTTTCGTACTTCAGCTCTCGTCTCTCCTTCTGGCTGTTACAGAGAAAATTCCCAAACTGGCAAGAATAGATATGATGCTGTATGTGGATGAGGAATCTCTCATTGAATTCGAAGGCACAAGGAAACTGTTCCATTAATTGCCAAACACACTCGAGGAACTGGTCGATAACAGGGGATATCTCCTTTGGATCTCCATCTAAGTTGCCATACCTGAAACAAGACAAGATACATTCAATTATAACCCAAAATCCTCTAGAAAACTGAATTAACACTAATGAAAACAAACCCCTCGCTTTTACTGTGCAAGGTACATTATAGGCACTCATTTATAAAATCTCAACTGCCAGTACACTTTTTTACTTACAAAAATGATGCAAGATTTGTGGAGTAGAATGAAGGCAGAATTTATCAAATACAAACAAAAAGAATACTTTTATGGGTATCTTGTTGCCTTACAGCTACATGTTTTAATGCTATTAATATAAAGTTATACCACAGTATATCAGCCATAATGACTGCAATGACTTAATGACAAAAACATATCTTAGACAGGCACTTAGTGGCAGAGTGTTCCCAAAACCAGAAAACTGAGCAGGGGAGGAACAGCACAACCTTGGCAGAAAACTGTTTAAAGCTGCCCTCTTTTGATGAAAATTTTAGAAGGTGGGAAATGTTGACATGCTACTGTAAGTGTCAGGTGAACATCAGACTTTCTGTCTATAAAAATGTCTCTTGGAACCACCTGCAATGAAGAAAAGGAGCCCGAAAATATAAACCACATAGTAGTAAAAAATAGGAAGAAGCATTTTCAATCAATCATTCTGCTTGTCTAGTGTGTGTATGTGTGTATACATGTGTGTGCATATATATAATACATATCAACCAGCATTTTTTTTAATTCCATAAACATCTGAAGTCAAAACTTCTAATTCTAGAATTCTAATTCTATTAATGCATCAAGGGAAATACAGCAATACTGTACTAGCAAACCAAAGCTAGCAGTGAATACGTTTCATAGCATCTTTCACCACTGATAGCAGACATCTGACATATCATATTAAATGTACTAATTCCTGCTAGAATTTCACAAGTGGTGTGGAGCTACACAGATTTCCTGAAAGTTTTGGGTGTTTTTTTTGAAACTACAAGAAATTCATATTCAAATCAAGCAACATCATGTAATTAAACTCCAATATAAAAACTGCTTTTTTATTTTTACAGAAACTAAAAGGAAATACAAGAAAGAAAGAAAATGTGGATCTTTATCCGTGTCTAAATATATTCTAAATATATATTTCATGTCTAAATATCCATTTTCATAATGGATGTACAAAACTACTTGTCCAAATAGGTGACTTACTTACTTTCCACTTTGCTTTACTTGGCATTTCTGAACAAATCCTACTGTTTTGTTAGAACAGAGCATAATAGGAAAAATGTATTTTAGGTTATAGATAACTTGCAGACATGCCTAAGATGAAGTATTGTCCTGGACGGTGTAGACTTTGCTGATCAGGGACTTAAATGAGGAGTTTTGGCACTAGTGAAAGATCTGCTGGAATCCAAAGTGATTTTGCAAACCATATACACACTACTTTCCTCTCACATGGCTCTTTCAATGTTCATAGCAACTGCAAGACCAGCACGGAGGATTCCCGATAGCAGTCTTGGAGTGCATATACAAGAAAAGACTGATAGATTGGTATGAAAATATTTCACTCTCATTTTTCCATGCAGCTGAATTACATAGTTGGAGAAAAGGGTATGGTGGTTTCCAGAAGGCATTCTGTTTATGTACTTTGTAAGGCAATAAGGAATAAAATTGGAATGGAAACAGATACTGACTACATAAAAATATATGCAGAAAAACCTTAGCACTGCCTTACCTGTGGTTAAATTTGTGACCAAAGGAAACCCAGTCTTTTTCAATTAACACCTAAAATGAGAATATTGCATTCAGTGTTGCGGAGCAGAGCTGACACGTGTTGAAGCAGGTAGAAGTGTGGTGCAAACAAGCAGTATTAGAATCCCAGTTAATTCTTAGATTAAGCAGAGCAGTGCCAAGAAAGAATGATGTAAGAAAGCAGTATTAGAATCCCAGATAACTTATCGAATAAGGAGAAAAATAATGAGTGATGAGCACTGCTGCCAGCTCTGGGGAAGTAGCACTCTGCATGGATGCAAATAGGATGCCAGTGTTTCAGCACAACTTCAATTAGCTTGATTCATTATTTTCTATAATAGAACCTAAAAACATCTCAAACATCTCTTAAACATGTGACCAGTAAGTTGATAGGCATTCCTAGATGCTTTACCAGTGCTGATTCACTTGGGAAAGGAACAAATTTTCCAACATAGCTGCTCATTGCAATCTAATGTCTAGGGAGCACACGCTTCTGATACTCAAAACTTCACTGATCCCTGAAAATGAATATAAATCCTTCCTTGGATGAAAGCTCCTTGGGCTGCAAGAGTCTCTTGGTTGAAGTTAGGAAAAAAATATAAATGGGTGCCCAACTGATTCCCACCTTTGCTAACATTTCATACAGAAACTGGGAGTCTGTAACATGGACAGATAAAAACCTTCCTTCCTACTTAAAAAGGAAAGTTATATTTAAGGAAAGTTTATTTTCCATCAAAACCAAAGTTAATCATCTTAAACGATGCTATAATACTTCATTTACTCTGTGAAATAGAACCTGCTTACCATGAATCCCTTCATAGTTCTGTAATATGGATCCAATAGAAGGCTTGCTACAGAGCAAACCTGGGCTGTCCTATCCCAGCCATCAGAGCAGTGAACAAGCACACTCACACCTTCCTCAGCCACAGCCTAAGGACACAGAAAAAGTCAGAAATTTCACAAGCAGGGAGAAAGGCAATAGTGAGAGGAACAGTGAGATGGTGCCATGTAGAGAGTATTAATTTGGATATTGAGAGACTTTTTTCATTTTTTATTCTGCCACAGATTTCTTGAATTATGTTGAGTGTTATTCTCCTCATTTGAAAAGTCTTAATCTCATCCCATCCCATGCAACGTGGCAGGTGCAGCATCACATGTTTACGCTCCACTATGGGAGGATTTGGGATCTGTTTCAATTAAAATACATCAATCTGTCAGAGCAGACAACTATCTAAAGCAGACTCAGATGCAGTTAGTGCTCTAATTCACATAGCAGCAACAGAACAGCCATACTTTAAATCTGGCTTTTAATTTCTCATCTTGATGGTAAGGTCAATAACAGCAATGTCAGCTTCTGATGCCAGCACTAGTGTGGATATTATTACAACACACTGCATTGCACACTGGTGACATACTTCTCAAGGTTTGTGGGAAGCCCATCAGAATGGCAAACTTCCATAGCTAATAAACAAGATTGTATCAGTATCTTTTATGTAAATAACTGGGGTTGGAGGATGCTATTTTATACGTAAACACATAAAGAAGAGATCATACTAAGTTCTCCAAAGTCTGGTGGTGCATTATTTTTGGAATTTGAGGTTGGGTTTTTTTTAAATTCTAAGGGGTTTGGCCTTTCTCATTTCTAAAGAAAACTGAGTTTTAAAAATAAAGAAATAAAATAGGTTAGGGAAGATACTGCTTAGAAAAACAAACATGTAAATTAAGTTTGGGCTTAATAAGGAACAAGGAATTATAATAAATTATCTATGTTTATCTCAACAGACAAGTAAATTCTACCAAAATAGAAGCCCTGTGGGCAGGCGACCAACAACTGAGACCTGGGAATGGTACAAATGAGAATGGGTCACAATGCGTGTCTGGGGAGGCACGAGAAGCTAGCAAGCATAGGGACAAAGAATCAGGGGTTTTTGGACAGTATTTTAAGACTAGCTATGGGGGAAAAGTTGGCAAGAGCTAATGTAAATGACCTGATTTCTATAAGGTAATGAAGGCTAGTAGGGCTGGGAAAATAACAACATGCATTTATCTTGCGGCTGCTGTTCAGGTAAGAAACAGTTGCCTGCTGAGCAGGGAGCAGGAAAGCAAGAGAAACAAGAAGTTACTGGGGAGGAAAACCCATGAAGTTTTATTCTGATGGTCGTATGTAAACAGGTCATGTGAATAAAATGGCCTGTAAGAAATTGTAACAGTGGTCTCAAAAATAAGAACTGAAACAGTAAAAGGCAAGGAAGGGGGTAATAAAATAAAAACTACTGTCAGTAGATGACAAATTTCTGCATTACTTTGGGTGGGATTAGGAGAAATGACTTCTTATTAAAGCCACGAACTTTTTGGAACCAGTTCTCAAGTATGTAAGAGTAGAAACTGCTAGAGTTTGGCCATGGTAATGCGCAGGAGTTGGTTTAGGAGGTGAATTTTGGTTGCTAAATAATTCAGGGGGGATAATACAGTAACTAATACTCCTATATTACAACCATCATGAAAAGAAATAGCCCTCCAACAGAAACTTTCAACAAAGAACATGTCCAGAAACCAGTGGAGTCAGGGGAAATAATGAAAGAAACAGTGACAATCACTGCTGGGAGTAAAGTAAGGACATTCAAATCCCTGGCACACAAGATGCTGGCTAGTAGAGGCTTTAGTACGTTTGGATTCTTTGGTGAAGAACACAAACTTCTTTTTACCATATTAGCAAAATGTCCACACAACAGCATCTAAGAATCATGTCCCCTCATATATGAAGCATTTCAAGATGTGTTTTTTTCAGGTACAACATCACTAAAGATACAAAAGTTACCCACAAGCAGAGAATTTGGTCTTCAATTTCTGTACCTGGTTAGTCCAAGTTTTGTTCTCATTTCATGCACTTTACCTTTGCAATAAAAATGCCAGCATCCATAATGGCTTTGATATGCTTCAGCCAGCCAGAATTTTCTAGGCCCCACAGAAAGTCACTCATCGAAGGTGATTTCAGCTCACAAACTGCAAAATAAGCCACGTCTTAAATGTACAGTAATCACAGACCCTTAAAGCTTTAACTGACTGTTCAACCAGTTATCTCTTCAGATATCCTCCATATAAAACATTCATCTTTTGAAAAGAATGACTACTTCACAGTCAAAATTTACTACTGAAAAAAAGCATATGTTTAAGAAACAGTGATGGACCAAGTTTCCCCCAGTATGTTGGTTAAAGTTAAAAAGAGAAGCTGTTACAAAGCCTGTTTACCAAAGACATCCTGTGCAGAACAAAGTTTCCAAAATTGTGTTGGGAGTGAAGTTTTCAAACCCCTGAGAGGGGTTCATGTATTTAATAACAAGTGCTTGGAAACAGAAGGCATACAATTTCTGCTTTCAGACAGACAGATACCTAAGTGGTGCCACAGCCTCCTATTCCCAGCCACGTTTGCTGATGAAGGTCTGTAAGAGCAGGCCCACCAAACCCAGCCGTCAGCATCACCACAGATGATGGTATTTGAGTGAAAGCAATTACTCAGCCGTTCTCCATCCCTGAACAAAACCTTATTAAAACTTCATTTATAGTCAGGAAATATTTTGATGGTGAGGAAAATCTATAATTCATCAAGGAAAATACTTTCCTGAAAGCTTTCCAAGCTCTATGCCATGTTTGAAGAAAAAAAATCTCCCACTTTTTACAACATTAAGTTTCTACCCTGCTGTGTCCTAGTGTCTATTTTTTAGTATTACAGAATTTGTAACCTCAGAACAAAAAAAGAGCCATCAGAATCTAAATCAAATCATAGAATCATAGAATGGTTTGGGTTGGAAGGGACCTTAAAGCTCATCTAGTTCCAACCCCCCTGCCATGGGCAGGACACCTTTCACTACACCAGGTTGCTCAATCTAGCAGCAAACAAATACTCAGCAGTATTTGGTGCAATGTGTTTTCAACAGTGAGATACTAAATTCACCCCATAAACAGACTATGCATTTATTTTGATCCATGTACAATTATGTTGTCTTTTAAGGAAAAAGATATTAACCAGGGAAATGCATTTAACGAATATAGTGAAAAATGTCATGATTTTTACTGAGTTAATGTACAATCTATGAATTAATAATGTCTTAGTAGATCGCTTGTCCTCTGGAAATCTTCTAAAGGACTCAGTTAATTATGGCCATTATGATCAGTGGCACAACTTTAGTGTCCTTCAATGTAATTGGAATTGCATTTTACAAGCAAAGTTGCAGTTTATACCACATTTGAACATATTTGACTGTCTTAACTCCATTCAGTTCAGGGGGAAAATAGCCTAATGTGTCCATACAGAGTCTTGCAATCTTTACACATCGGGCCTCTTCCAGATGGTTATTTTAAAAGTCATTTTTGAAGGATATTTATAAAAAATGCTTAGATAGCAACACTGAAAGCAAACAGCTTTTCACATGATTAATGCTCCTGTGCAGATGGAAGCATGACCAATTAGGAGCTGAATTCTGGCTGAAGCTGCTGTCTCTATTGACAAAAGCCCAAGGTAAGTCTGGAATAGTGCTTTGCTCATTCCCACTACCAAATTAGAGTCAATATTTAATGTCCACTCCACTGAGCAAAGTTCAGACTGTCTAAAAGGCATACACTGTATATTTCACATGATTTTGGCTACCAGTCTGGGCCTTAATACTGAGTTCAATTACGAATTCATTATGAGGCTTACCCAATAGGGAAAAGGTGTTTCTATCTCAGCAGAAAAAGTATCAAAATCTTGGAGAAATAAGAACTGCTGCATGGGCACAGGAAAATCAAGAGGCCTTGCGCAGAACTCATAGCAATCCAGTGGCAGTCCCTTCCCCAGTAAGGGAGGAAGAAACTGGACAAGTGGTGGAAACTGCCTCTTCCACCAGCAAAAGGACCAGAGGGGATACTGGACCAGTTCCCCCATTTCTAGCAGGAGGGCCATAGGCAGAAGAAGGAGTAGATGCTGTGGGCCAAACGCTCGGGCTCTCTTTCTGGCTGATCCATTGCTGAAGTCAAAGGATCGAGGGCTGCTCATATATCAGCAACTACTCCTGGTATGAGAGGAGGAGAAGCTCATATTTACTGTTTAAATACAGACAGGGAGCAACATGTGGGGTCATCACCTCAATGCACAGCAAAAGGGGGTCAAGTCTTGGCTGGACCCTGGATGTGCGGCAAAGCTCTCCCATCACAAATACCAAACAGCAGCCTCAGTCAGCCCTTGAGTCTTTACTGGGAGAAGTCCTTGTGCAATATTTCCTTCTAATATTAAAAATAATTGCAAGCAGGTTGTGACCAGGATCAAAATTATGACACGGATCTCCACATATACCCGTCTTTAAATGAAAATTTTACAAATCAATTCTTTACGAACGCACTATGAGGCAGCAGAGACAGAAGTAAAACATTTTTGGGGGGAGGAAGGAAACTCCAGCATGTTGAAATGCATTTTACTACCAGAGAACAGTCACATCTCAACATTATTTGCATATTCTAAAAAATTCTTTGTCCTACGAATTCAGTCATTTTATAATGATCATGTATTTTGCCCCAAATTAACATTATACAAGGGTAAATACATGTTAAGATAAATAAAGTTAAGATAAATAAAATTACTTGAATCAAAGTGAGTAAAATCACAAAGCTGAAACCAAATTTTTTTACCTACTTAAATGAAGCATTGGCATAATTGTAAGTATAAATCAATTTATTCAGCCTTTTCCTAAAGAAAAATCATTGAAATGAGCACTTTCCTAATGTAAGTGCATTTTCCAATGGAAAACTCAATAATCAATTTTTGTTCAACTTTCTTCAGCATTGGAAGTTACTTAAAATTGTATATTGAAACTAATCTGCAGTTTCCCATGTGAAGAAGATCCTCCAGCCTTCACTTCTGCTTAATTCCAGTTGATTGAGTGAAATGGCCCCTGCACTTCTGCAACACATCAAACCCATTATGTCTTGATGTCCTCTTTTCCATGCTGTACACTTCCAAGCAATAACGCAGCACACACTGAACATTTTTCATCAGCCTCATTTGTCTTTTCAAAGGTTTTTATGTACCTTATAACATCTCACACCAGATCACAAGCAGCAGACATACCAATTTTTACAGGCCACCAGAGAAACATGAAGGGACACTGAATGGAAAAAGAGAAAACCTACGCAGCACCTTACATGAGAAAAGCCCTGCTCATACAGGGTTTTTAAAAACAAAATGACTTGAAATCCTAAAGTGCTTGAACACCCAGATTTAATTTGTCTAATTTCTAATCTTATCAGCCAGGTTGCTAAATACGCGATTTCAACATAGCAAATACAAAACCTATGAAAAAAGCAGATGTTTTGAGCATATGGCTCATTTAAAAAGAGATGCTAAGAAGGAATGTGCCCCAAGCAGCCCGAAGTTGTTAGTGCATTAGAAATTACCTTGCTACCAATCAGTCTGGGCTGTGGGTCTGTCTCACAACCTTTCGGCTCAAAAATAATACATAGCACTGTCCATGCAGCCAGGACGGTTGTTTCACTACTTTAACTTTGATGGTCTTAAGCTGAACAAATAAAAGAACAGGTTTATTCACTCAGCCTCTCTCCTAGCCAAACAAGACTTTGTAGTGAACTAAAAATCGTCTGTTTTCCTCCCTGAGAACCTCAGACCAAGGATTTAAGTATACATTCGTCACAAAGAGAGTGACCGTTTTGCCTGCATCAGACTTTATTGAATTATGTCATTAAAGTAAATGATATCTGGATTTCACCCACAAAACAAGGTGTTTGCAAGATTAGGAACTCACCACTAGTTGTGATGGTGCTTCACTGCACAAATCCCATTAGCCAGCAGGCAGCTGCATGCAGCTCCAATGGACAAAGATCTCTTTTCATACCTGTTTTCACTGCTGCTGATTCCAGAGCAGTTATCCTGATTTGAATGACAGAAGGATCAAATATTTCCTCTAGTTTTCAGTAGAGCATTACCTTCAAGCATTTTCTGCAGACTGTTTCTCATGACATGGATGTTCTCAATGCCTATGAATTGAAACTTGATGTTGGAGTAGTTGTCTTCATTTTCATATCCCTTCCCTGCTGCTCTGTTTGCCATTGCATTGAGCTGAAAAAAAAATAGGGAAGATTAGATGAAAACCCAGAAACATGTTATTTCCAAAACAAAGCTTGTGGTCTACTGCAATAAATCAGAGTGATTTAAGTCGGCACAAATAGGAAGCATTTATCCCAGTGTCAACACAATGGGGCAGGAGTCGGGGATCTCTTACAGCCTACTGCAGGGCACTGAGCTGCTGAGGATCTTACCTCTGTTATACACACTTGGAGTGAAACTTCGTTACTGAGGTTAAACACAAAAATCACAGCTCATGTAGGGCTCCTCTACAAGAGCATAAAGGTTCTAATTTGGGTTTAAAAGACTATTCTGATTTTATTTTCTGATCAGCGTTATGTTTACTAGCAGAATACAGCCAGCAGGTGGCAGTGTCTTATCTGCCATGCCACTGTTCCATAACATGTACACTGTAATGTTGCCCAAGTTACTCTGTTTTCTGCTCAAATCATCCAAAAGTTGATACAGCTTGCTTCTTTGAAGCTTGCAATAATGAAGAGAGAGTTGGAGTAGTTCTTCCTAAGTTTATAGTGTTCTTGGCTGTAGTTGTATAAGACCACAAAATATTTGAATTAACAAAATTACCACAAATATTTTCATCTGCAATGCAGTACTATCAAATATTTTGCTCAGCTTCAGCAAAAAATACATGCAACTGGAAGATGGAGTTTTATCTTGGATATCTTACTTGCTTCATGGCGTGGGAAAGTCAATAAATTGTCCTTTAGTTCAGTTTTCCCAAGCATAAAATTAAGGGGTTTTTAATGCTTATTTTCCCCCTTTTGAGGGGGAGCTGATAGAAATGAATGAAGTGCTTTTACTTTATTATCCTATTTTTATTTTCTTTTAAAATTTTATTTGCTATAGCAAAATCTCACTGTCCAATAGAAAGAAACTCTGTTTTTGCACAAAGTCCCTGCTCTTCTCTGAAATGCACGCTGTAAGGCTGGGGAGCCTTTGAGCTTCCCAAGAAATATGAAGGCTCCGAGAGTAACAAAGCAGTCCACATGGCAGAACTTCCATGCCTCCAAGCACGGCTAACAGCTTCTGCTTGGGAAAGGTTTCAGAATTAAACAACAATGGATATTGCACATCCAGACTGGAGGGCACTAACAAAGCTTTTGGAGAGACATTATGAGGCGTCAGCTGGGCTAAAAGTGACTCATCTTCATCGCAGTGAGAGCCAACGCTCATGAAAAATCAAAACAAAGTATCTCTGAGGCATTGTGTAGGTACAAGAGACTATGCAGATAACCCTGTTGCTCATTTATTTCCCAATATCGCAGGCAGTACTATTGATTTGCTGCCTCTGTGGTCGCTTCTGAAACTCACAGTAATGTACTTCAGTAATCTACTAATGGTATCAGGGGATACACAAGAATGTCACTTCCTGATCTCTGCCACCCCAAACACACGTACTGCCAATATTCAATTTTAATTCAGAGCTGAATGCATGCAGTTGAGTAGGATTGATGGTCTGCGGCCATCTTACCGCCAGCTAAGATGAACAAGTCCAGCTTTTTTACATCATATCTCAAAATAGCTTTCAATGGGCTGAATTTGACCTCTCAACTTTGAAAGGAAACACCTAAGGTCTAAAAGCTTTTTATGCCATTATAATTTCGTTTTAGATGCACAAGAAAACAGCTAGATAGGCAAATTTTTGATTCCTTTATTCTGTCCGAATTAATATGTAAAGATTAGGGATTTTTTCCCATCTTCACACTTTCTAGCCCATCCACTCCCATGAGCATCCATGAGCAGAACTTGGCAATAGGAATATCTAGTTACATTTGTGGCCCACCATTTAGCATTGAAGCATTGCATTAATTTCATGATGCAACTCTTAAGAACGGAACCGAAGGAAACACCCAGCATTTTTTATTTACTCAAGTCCTGTGTAAAACTTCCTTTAACTTGTAGAATGCAATTCAGGAAAAAGCATAGGGGAAAAAAAATTCTAGTCTATCAACCAGCTGTTTGCTGATATTCTATCAATGAACAATAAAAATAAAGAGGTACAGTCTAAGAACAGTATGTCCTTTAAGGACAAAGTCCTCAGTGTGACTTGCTAGAAAGATATAAATTATCTGCTGAATCCTAATCTTTCTCTTTTGAAGTAGACATCAGTGTCTAAGAAGAAAGATCTGTATGTATGAACCTAAGCCACCACAAGACCCTGAAACACTAAATGACAAACTAGCCCCTGACTGACCTAATCCTCAGTAAAATAAATGCTATTAACTGTCTCTGCAGCAGATAAATTTTGTGACAGAAATCCTTTCTTAAAAGACGATCTGAAATAGCCTCTTTAAAAGTAAATAAATATAAGGTTAATTTTGCAAGGCTTTCTGACACTCATTTATTTTAAATATTGTCAGTTGCCAAACTTTGCAGCTGCCACAATATTTACTAACAAGTTTTCCACATCACCTACCAAAATTCCATCTGTTGCTTTTAACATAGTTGTTGTAAAGCTCTCTAAATTGTGCCTGACCTCACTTAATCTCAGTGAATATGAGGATACGACCTCTGAAGGGAGCAGACCTCACTTGCCAGATTTCCTGGCGTCTTTAATGTGGAGGATAACCGAGTCCTGTTTTGTTCTAAAGTGTTATAGAATTAATCTGTTCTACTCATAAATAGTAAGTTTGCATTAGCTTCTGTAAAGCTAATAGAGGAAGGAGAAAATCGAGAAAGACAGTAGCCTAAGTAAATCTCTGCATATGGTCACCCTTGTAAATTTAAATGAAGTGGGGAAAAAGCTTTCTTCCACAGACAAATCTTTTGTTTTGAAGATTATCAAACACAATGAAGGACAACATGCGAGGAGCACCTGGGAATGCTGAATGCAAGGGCCCAGCAATATTCATAATCTCTTCAAGGAACCGGTTCTGATGAGAGAAGAGGCAGGTAGTTTTTTAACTTCCTAGAGAAGTGGGAAACCTTGCACCAGACTTGCTATCTTACCTTTACATTTGTTAAAGGTTCCCTGAGGAACAGCTTGCACTGATACCTATCACTTCCTACATGCTCTAGATTTCTAGATGCATTAGAAGGTACAAAACTGTAACAAGGCTGTTACTTGGCACCAGGGATCACAGGAGCTTTAGTAAATTAGTTTTATAGCACAGAGAGGTAGGAATCTGTGTACACAAATTTCTTTACATCAAAACCCTTTTTATTAGAGAAGTTCAATAAAAACAGTCTTCATCTCCTGAGCGGCTTCTGAAGAAGCCAGAGTTGCTGGAAATATGACGTCATTCATGGCAGAGCAAGCCAATTTTACCCTCTCCACTTAAAGTACAGGCTTTTTTCACTGCATACAGGAAGTGTCTCAAAGTCATTTACCAGAAGAGTTCACAGAATGGGACCTGCCCATTAATACCTTGTAAAACATGACTAATAGCCAAGTCAGTCTTTAGAAATAAATCCCGTCAGTGAGCAACTTCCTTAATTAGGGAAGACTACCGGTATCATCAGCTAGGAAACCTTATGCTGTAACTATTGTTACATATAGAAAACTGTTAAACAAGTATTATTTAAACAGCTAGGTCTGTACTTCCTATTTAAAGCCTGTTCTGAACACAGTGGTAGCAATCCTGTCCTGATGATGATTCACTTGCTTCAGGATCACAAGTAAGGTGGTGGCATCCTTGTCTTCCCAACAGAGGGAACTGAAGGTCAAAGTAGTCACCAAATTACAAAGTGCAATGAGACATGCCAAAGCCCTGATTTTCTGACTGCTGCCGCTGGTTACAGCTGTGAGTGCTCAGCACTTTCCCACCAGCGCCCAGATCTTCAATCACCAACCAGACAGGTTCCTCATTTCTGCTCCAGCTTTGCCCTTCCTCACTCCGTCTCAGGATACTGAAACAGCCCTTGTTCCTTTCCCTCAAACCTTTGCTCCCATCTTTCGTTTTCCCTTGCTATAGATCATCCTGTATCTACTAGGAATTTTTTAGAGATTTGTCCCTTTGTTTTCTTTTCTTCAAATGCTTTCTTTGATAACATCAACAGGAGAGCTACTGATTGTGTAAGGAAGAACATATCCCTGCTGCCACCTCCAGACACTGAAGCCTATCTAATCCTCATTGCCTACAGCTGTTTGCTAGCATGCCAATTTGGACACAAGGGTTTTTCAGCTTCCAACCTCTTCTAGATGATTACTGAGTTTCTGTGTTTCTGCACAGCACGATTTTTTTTAAAGCTTTTATCTTGGCCAAAAATTTTAATGAAATACAGAGATAGGGCACCTGAGATCACTATTTACCATATTTCAGATTCTCTCTCAAAAGCATAAAAGTGCTGGAGATATTCAAAGAAGGTTTCTTCAATTCTTGTAACCTCAGTAAATTGTCTTTCCTCAGCCTTATGCAGAGGTCATTGAAATTTTCCCATTTAAGGAGAAATGTTGCATGGAAAATTTTAGCATAAGCAGGCAAAGGTTTGCAACGTTACAAACAGCTGTAAATACAGGTTTATAATGGGAATTATTTTCACTACTCTCATCAGTAATATGCAGTTACTGATAGCTCCTCTGCGTGTGGAAACAGTTCCAGTTCAAGTTATTTATTTATCTGTATCTTAACATTTTGTTAAGAACAAAGAAGATAAAAGCTTAGTGTAAAGAAGAAACTTCTCCAAAAGCTAAAAATGTGGGCAAGGTTCCTAGTTAAGATTCCCCTGATAAACCCTGATTTGCCTGTGCAGTTATCGATGCAACTAAAATCAGAAGTGAGGCACTTATGCTGTGCATCTTCCCTAACGTATTCAGCCCAGATTCAGTCTTGCTATGTGTAAGAAATTGAAGGTACTTACTTTGGGCCGTGTGTCAACAACATATATGAAATCACTTCCTGGATTTGCTTTTCTAATGGCCTGGAGCATCTGTTCATCCTCCAGGCATCGAGCACTAAAGCCAGATAAAGGCTGGCTGCTTCTGCATATGGAAGCCTGTGGAAAAACAGACAGTCAACAGAAAAATCAACATAGTTATTAAGCAGAAATTATTTAGCATCCAGAAGCATTTACAAAACCAGCTCACTAGATGTTTGCATAGATGTACAGCTATGTGGGAAGGACAGAATAGTAAAATGAATTACATGTTTATAAACTTACTTTTAAAAAGGAAAGGAAATATTAAAACAATGCAACCCCGCTGGCCCAAGTCAAGTCTTGAGTCCAAGTTTTAGAGCTATTTTAAACATAGTATTTCCCTAACGTGGAATAACTCCTGCAAGGTGGTCTCTAGAGGATATGATGAGTACAACATTGCAATCACAAGAACACTGTTGTAACATAAATAATGAGTCCTTTTGCACTGTCACTCACACTTACCAGTTATGATATTGATTACACCCAACTTACACCAATGCATGCTTTACTAAACAGCCTGACTCTATGAGTCCAGGAAACAAAACTGCATAACATGCAGCCAGATCACTGATGGTGGTGTATTTTTAGCACTGCCTCTGGAGAAAGACCTTACTGCATGGAAAGTGGGTCAGGCAGCCTGACCCCTGGAGTACATTAATTAATCAGTGCTATTGAAGAAGGAAAGAGAGTTTCTCCACAGACCCACCAGGATCAGACCTCCAGGTGAAACTGTGAAATAAGGAACAGAACATGAAATGGGCGAGAAAGGAGGTTTTTATTCCTGCTAGGCAGAAGGCAGCTAGATTTGTAGAGGGCAAGGGGCTAATACATGCACTTTCTAAGCACTGAACATAAGCATGATGAAAATCTGCCTGCTGGGGGTCATGACCCATGCAGACTGCCCTACAGATTATTTATTAATGTGAAAAAGGACATGCTTTTTTTTCAGACAAGTCTTCGAAGTATTGGTAGTTAGTCAGTAAAACATAAATCTTTAATACAGGAAACCTAAATGTGTGAGAGGCTGTTCATACTTAATTAACAGCTTTTGCACACAGATTGTTAGTTATCTAGAGCCTTGCCTGCTGATCAGCACACATTCCAGCAATTTAATATATGCTTATACCTCCTTTGCATGAAGTAAAAGGTACATTTGAATATGTCCACAACCAATTTAAGAGAAAGATGTTTCTCTCTCCTCCATAGCATACCATAATCAAGGCAGATACAGACCTCCAGATTAAGGCTGAAGTTAAGTCTGTGGATGAAGGCTAGGATTCAGGAAAGTGTGGACTACAGCCCTTTACATTGTGTCATACTGGAGGCCCAAAGGGTTAAGATATGTGCAGGCAGCAGTATGAGAGAGTGGTTTGTTTGTCAAGTTAGGCTTGGGGTTAAGATCATGTTTAGCCCCAGATTAAGAAACTGCTGCACTGCCAGTACTGCAAAATTAGGAAGATAAGATGTCCTGGTGACCATTGGGTATCATAAGTGGAAATCATTATCCACGATATCTGTGAAGAGATCACCTCCTGCCAACCTACGCCAATTGGATGAGCATATACATCTATAAAATTTCTTGTGTTATTTTTAAGAGTAGGGCAAGAGAAGAGGTCATGTTTGCTACTGCACAGGCTGAACAAATAGTTCCAGAGTTTGATCTTATCACACTCACACAGATCTTGTAAGACACAGAGAAAGATGCTACATTGTCATTGAATTTGTCAGTACCAAAGAGCTATGGGAAAGTTCTGGATATGAAAGACTGAATGAGTGGCACCTGTCTCTCCTGCATGCAGTAAAGCTTTTCCCAACCTGCTGTTGGAAACCTGCTGTTGGAAACATTCTGTTTCCACAGCTGTTCAGTGTCTACCATCACAAATCTTACCCCACTCCTGCCCATTATTCTATTAGCTGCAACTCATGCCAACCTCCAAACTGACAAGGAGGTATTTCTTTCAACATTCCCAGCCCTTTTCCTATCCCTTTGAACCATGAAGGATCCAGAAGTAAACCCAGTACTTCGCAATCCTTGTGGTCTGAACCTTAACCTGAACTCCAACCAATGATTTGATAGCTCTTTCAGCCATCTTTTTTGGGTCTATTCACAGATCTTTTCTTGGAAGGCTACCACTGATTCTCTTAATTGCTACAAGTAATTTTCCTCCTTCTAGTCTTGCTCTCAGGCTATGGCTACCAGATCCTTCATTGCTGTTCTCCTCCCAGTCACTTGCTAAGCTGCCTGCTACTGGCCTTCGTTCTTCTGCCACCCATGTTTCAGGACCTCTTGTACTACTCCACTTCTGTGTGACAGAGAGATCACATTTTATTGTGTTTGCTGGATGATGAAGCTGGGTTTAAATGACTGCATTATATGCCTGTTAATGAAGTAAGCAGAATTCCAGTGTGTGCCCATTGCACAAACCACCCTAACCTGACAACAATAACAATCTTTTCTTTTTTTAACAAAATAATCACCTATTTCTTCTTGTCAAAACTTACAAGAACAATTACAAAAGCAAAACCAAAATAAGCAAACACTGCTGCAAATTCACACTTACATTGTTATCCTTGCAGTAGTAGGAAAGAGCTGGGAAGCGTCTTCGGCTCCGAAATTTAGAGCTCCCCACTATGATGTGTGCAGTTGCAGACTTTGGTACATACACTTCTGTAGGATAGGAGTCACAGACCTGTGAAAGAAAGCTCTACTTATTTTGGTCTACTATACAAGCATTCCAGAGCAGAATCAAAATAAAAAAACCCAAGGAACTCTAATCTCAGGGAATATTCTGTGATTATTGTATACACACCATTGACATTTCTTAAAACAGTCTGTTGAAGCTAGAAAGTATTAACTCTAACTTAAGAATCAAAACTGAAGCAAAAGTTTTGAAGGGCTGTATTTCTTTGAGAACAGATAGATAGAACATACATTCATAATGGGAAAGATTCATCACTATGTACAGCAAGGTTGTATTTACAACTGCAGTTTCCTCTGTAGCAGAATTCAGAAGTAAGGATGGGAGTGGGTCTCAAACACCCCTTTGTTATAATAGGAGGGGACTACAGAGCCAAATTTTCCAGCAAATCTGATAATTAAAAAAAACAATGACAAAAATAAAAACTTGGAGAAAATAAATTAATCTGTATGAAATGAGGCAAGCAGCCCTGACAATGCCTACCACTTCTGGAAGGAACCCAATGACCCAATGAGCCTGCAGAAAAGTCCAGAAGTTCCTCTGGAGACAAGTGGGACACCAAATGGGGTCCTGGCCTAACTTCCTTTTCCTGAATCTGCCTCTGGCATTCTGGCTGGGTCAAAAGGATATCCAGTATCTCCCTGGGACTTTCTGAGATGACTAAAGGAATTAGGATTTCCAGGAAGAAATTAGGTTCTGAGAAAGTCAGAGATACGTAATGAAGGAGAGAAAAGGAAGGGCTTGTGGTTACAGATGCTGCTGTGGAGAACTGGGGTTTATTCATGATGCCATTTTTCCTACACTTTATCTTAAAAGAGGTCAAACATTTTTTCCACTTGTTTTAACAGAAAGAAAACAAACCCTGATAGCAGAGTCAGTCTTCTCTGAGAAATTCACAGGCCTTCCTTAACATGGATGTTCTCCAGCAACAGAGCCAATGGAGTGCATGGACAAACTTCCTTCAGAAATACTTTGGTTGTCATTTCTCACAATTTATTAACATTCTAGAGACTTGAACAAGACTGAACTACGCAGAACAGCAGGCAGCTAGGAAGATACGTGACTTGCCAAATGACTGTGAAAAACATTATCAGTCAATCACAGAGGCTTCAAAAGGATTGTGAGAATTGCTAGTGAGGAAAACATATTGCCAAGTTCATTATTTGAGGTATTGTTTTTCTTAAAATGACTGTGCAGTAATTTTATATAACCCTACATGTCAGGAAAACATTCATTCAGACACATAACATTAGGTATGATTTAAACCTCTACCCAAGCAGCCAAGCACTAACATTTGAAACACTGTAGACATGTTTTCTGTGTTAAATGAAGACACATCCTTTCTCCCACATTCTATGTGTCTTTATGTGTGAAAGGGTGGAAGAATTGCACCTTACTACTTGTTTGTACAGCACTGAGAGCAATGAGAACCTGCATCTAAGCACTAAGTCAGTCTCACCTCTGTGCCTGGCAAAAT